TATATATTAAAATTCCCTCATATATATCAACTTTATTATAATCCCTTGTTAATATCACTATCAACATGAATTTAAACGAATTCAAATAGGTTGATATAAACGAGGGTAGACTGTACTATACTAGCACTAGTGTTAATTTTAATAGACCCTGGTCTTTTGACCAATTTTATATATACAGCATATAAGAAAACGGAAATTTTTATAATTATTTTTTATTCTGTAATTCAAAATTAAGCGATAAACTTAAATCTGTTGTTTTTTGTATCAGCAATGTAAATTTGATATTATTACCTTTTTATTGATCCATCAATTCTTTTAATCCTTTAAAATATTTTAGTTTATCAGATTTTTGATAATGTTTAACTCTAGCACTAGTTGAAGGGATTACAAAAACTTTGGTATAATCATCTTTTCTTTCATAATCATCATCATTCCAAAATATTTGATAAGATTGTAATCCAAAGTTTTTAGATTTCTTTTTTATACCATTAGATTGAATAGTATATTCAAATGCATCGAATGCACATTTTCCTATGAAACAAAGAATTTTTGGTTTATAAAATTTTACTTTTTGTAACAATGATGGAATACCGTCACGTAATTCAATTGTCGATAGGTCCTTTTAAAAGTTGAATAAATGAATAACATATCAATACAGTATAAGCCGATAATTCTTTTTTAATTAATCATGAAAATCTTTGACACTTACGGCAGAAGAACGCGTATAGCGACTTACAACATTAATAATTCCAATTTTAAATCGTTTTATTAAAGTTTTATCATCTTTATATGTAATTATCTCATTGTTTGTCGCGCCGCATTCAACAAGGCATGGGTAAAAATGATTAGAATGATGTGCAAAGTGATGACCAGTTTCTGCGCTACGTTTTCCTGGATTAATCCCAACAAATAAAACTAAAAACGAATATGCAGATAACAAGAATATAGTATTATAATAATAGATAAATTCATCAAATATAGGTAACAGGGGTTAAATTTCTATGCATACCCTTTAAATTGAAATCTATAATATCAGGGACGCTCAAAACCCTAGGTTCAGTATCTGAAGTAACTAGTGAGCTTTGCGGATCGCCGCTTTGAATTTCTTTTATACGAAAATTATTTGCCTTATAATATGGAGTAGCAGAACAGGTTTTTATTTTTACCGCAGTCTTTCTTGTACTTTTTTACGTGTCTCCACTATGGAAGGTGTAGTAGTACTTTGCTTCGGAACTGCAGTTGCTACATTTAAAGGTGAATACAAGTATTGGGATAGAAATTCTTTAAACTCAACGACAGAAGATTTACTATCTTCAGTTTTTATCATTATTGTTATTTGTTATTATATAAAGTGAATCCGTATATCAAAAAAAAAACTGTCCAGATTTACT